AGCTGTAATAAAAACGTTCCACGTGCAAAATATTTACTGAAACTGGATTTTTCAGTGACATTGCGTGAAGCGCAGGCTGTAGGTCACCCGGGCCATCAACTTTTGGCTCTGGGCCAAATAAAATCACTTGAAAGTGTTACGTCACAACTCAAGCCTCACAGGCTAAAATGGGGCCACGTATTTTTAAGCACAAGCTCAAAGCATTGGATTTCTATTCCTATTATTATAAAGAGGCTGACAAAGGTTCTAAAGGCCGTTCTATTCATAAATAAATAAATAAAAGGTCGCTGTTTCTTCCGCCACTTCTCAGCACCAGCCCATGTTGTCCCGAATTGGTGGTAGGGCAAGCTATATTTGGGATGTATGTACTGAATAAAAGCTTTGACCTTGACTTTAAGTTGCGTATCTTCTCTTAAAATTAAAATAACATGTTTTCGTAGTTAAGACTTGGGAAACCGCCAATAATTTGATCCTAGATCTTTAAGTAATTGGCGAAGCCGTATACTTTTCTTGGTACCGAACTGGGCCGTCTTTTTACATATAAATTACGTTAAAAAATCGATATTTTTCCTATATCTAACTAAATACCTAGTAGATAAAGAAGCAGGAGGCTCTACATAGCACTCCTTGGTAAGGCTTACGTTTAGCAACTGTTGAAAGTAGGTATGGAAATAAATAATCGAAATTGGATAAGAAACTTCGAATTTTGACGAGATGTTCCTAATGGGCAAAAATTAGATAGGCTACTACCGCTACCATTGCAATTTCCTAAATTAAATCGCTATCTACGGGCTCCAATCGAAGCAAAGCTATTGATAGCCACAAGGCATTGATGATCAGGCAAATGAGATCAGATACCTATTTACCTATTCAGTGTCGAATTTTACAGCACCCTAATGACTTTTATGAGGCAGAGATTTCTTTTAGACCATTAAAAGGTACACATTCGTCTAAACATTAATAGGGGTACATCTTTTATACTAGTAAAGTCAAAGTCAAAATTTCTTTATTTTTATAGAGTAATAAATAATAGTAAGTAGTTACTTACAAATCGTCAAATATTTTGCTCTTAAGGAGCCTCTACATGTCTCATAATCTTTTTACCCTACCAGCGCTTCGAGACCAACATTTGGCAAGAGCTGAGAAGAAACGCTGCAACAAACTCAGTCACCACTGTCTGCCGGTTAATGTAAAACGTCCACAATCGACTAGTGATAGGGGTAAAAACGTGGGGTTATAATCTTATAATAAAGAAGCCCTTTATAGCACAAATACCTCCAAAAGCTTCTAACATGTACCCCACCCGAAGCGTTTAGTTATACACACGACACTTGCCAATTTACCGCAACTAGGTACTGGAGTCGAGCACCGAGACCTGATGTGGCGAGGAATTAATAGTTTTAGGCTATGGGTTTAATTAATGGCGCTAATGGTTATTCAAGGGCGTAGCAGAATGTGTTTCGTGACTGAGTTGCTTCTGTCACTTCTTCTCAGCAACAGTAGATATTTTGTTCTGAAGTGGTAGTAGAGCCACAGAATAATAAAAGTACTACGTACAGAAGGTTTACTTCGCGAAGGAATTTAAAAAAAATTATGCTCAAATATCATTAACAATATGGTGTAATTTAGCTTGTCTCAAGAGTCAAGCACCATTTTGTTGACAAACATCAGTGATCGGTACTGCGCCGAAGCCGTAGGGCTGACTTCGGTAAAATTATGTGTGACGTGAGGTGCCAAACTGCAGAAAATGGCGGAGGAAATACATGATGAAGCATGAATTATCATGAATTATGTCTTCAGGCAACTTAAAAAAGTACATTCTGTGTTTTTTTTTATTATTTAGGCAGTTAATTACTGCACAGTATTTAGTACACCATTCTTTATTTTTTTCCATCATACACAAGAATACGCGTGCATGAGTCAATGCTCGCTCGTATGTGAGGCCTTGTCGAATAGTAATCCTGTAGGGTGCCATCATACTTGTTTTCTTTTCGATGTAAACTTGCGGAGATGAACAATCCTAGTAGAGCCAGTCATAATACATATTGTATTTTGGGATGATTATTATTATAGTGTCTCAGGTATGTGATGGACGGAGGCCGCTACTAAACGTGCAGCATGAAAAGTATTGGGGGGAGGCCTATGTTCAGCAGTGGGCGTCCTATGGCTGAGATGATGATCACTGATGATGATGAGATATAGTGTCCTTAAAAGGGCTTATTTACAGTACACACTAATAAAGAATTTTAAACTTAACACCATCAAGTATTTCTTCTGCTAGTACTTCTTTTTAGCACCTGCCTATAATTTATCCTGAAGTGGTAGTAGAGCAAGCTTATTTTGGGACGAGTATAGTGCTCTAAAAAGTATAGTAAAGGCATACTTAATATAATTTAAAAAAATTGGCTAAGACACCGTCATTGTATTTATTAACCTAGCGACAAGAGTTGCATTTTTTAAATATATTTTTTAATAACTTGTAAAATAACTCGTAGTATGGATTTTAACTCGTAGTATGAATTACAACTCGTAGTATGGATTACTACGACGTCGCAGGTAAAAGATGGAGATCAAATAAAGAGATTCTAACCTCAAAACTGATTGAAAGTCAATTATTACTTGAAACAAAGCTCTACACGAGTTGAAGTGCACTTAACTGAGACCTTGAATTGGCAAACGGGTGTTAGTTAAGAGATACTTAGTTTTCTTCTTGTGTAGGCCTAAACCCCCATTTACATCTGGTAAATTGGAGAGTGTCATGTTCCTGCAGTCAAGCCTAAAATTACTTGATGATGATGATTATTACCATGCAACTTCTCTTCAGCTTTAGCTTTCTTTATCTACAGCTTGGAAAAACCAGTGGTTGGCATTTGTTTGATTTCATCGATCTATCAAATATTAACCCACTGTTTTCGATGAATCACTTTAGTTTGGTAAGCTTAAGCACTGCCGAATCGCATAAAAACCGCTCTAAGCTGAAAGTGCTCAAACTTTGAATTGTTGAACTATTTAAATGACTATTGTGGTAGGAGTTTAGGCGATTTTCAGCCCAGAGAACAAAGTAAGGAACTATCTGCTTCCTCAACTCAATAATAGTAAAGAGAACACTGCACTGAAGTTCTAAAAACTTCCAAAGGTTTTCAACAAAGAGTGATAACACAGACACTAAATGACGCAGAAATTATACGATAACACCAACAACTAAACCCGCTACTCCATAATCATGACTCACTATACCTACATTGTATAATGTATAAGTAACTTAAACTTTTCCACTAACAGTACGGCTAGAACTTTCGAGTTCGAATCGTTTGCGTATTCGAATCGCCATCAAAAGATTTAGTACGAAAACTACAACAGCGCCCTTGTGAACGTGTCGTAAAGTGAACTTAGTATGAGAAATGGTTGAACGAAACTTATTTTGAGAATCAAAATTGTCACGTTATCGTTTAATTCGAAGGTTGATAATTTTGTCGAATACGCAAACGATTCGAAGACGAAAGTTGTTCATGCTAGAGGTACAGTATCAGTAATGGTCGGTGTCTCCTCGAAAGGATGCGCGATACCACAAGCAAGGGCGTCCGCGGTAAACCAGCTTCTTGATATGCCTTTATGAACATCTAAAATACAATATAACTCAAAGGTGCCTGACTGACTGACTGACATAGTGATCTATCAACGCACAGCCCAAACCACTGGACGGATCGGGCTGAAATTTACCATGCAGGTAGATGTTAATGACGTAGCCATCCGCTAAGACAGGATTTTACGAAACTGCACCCCTAAGGGGGTAAAACGGAATCCACGCGTACGAAGTCGCGGGCGGCCGCTAGTATCAAGATAAATGCTGAGCGGCAGCCTATTGCGTGAGCGCATATTGGCTCAGTAATTGGTTTTGTTCTTGTTGTATTGTTGTTGTTTATATGCTTACTGTGTCAATAAAGTTTTTCTATTTCTATAATGAGTTTCTTCCGCCACCTCTACTCAGCAACACCCGATATTTTGTCTCCAAGAGGTGGTCTTGGGAGCTATTTTTGGGACGTGTTAAAAGTACCTCAAAAAGAGCTTACATTCTATAAAGAAAAAGGTCCTTTATAGGACCTGAAAGTATAGCTATATACAGTCTCTATGACTCCTAGGATTGTTCTAGATTCTTTCTTATACGAATCGTGATTCAAATGCTTCACAAAACTATGTCCCCAGACTTAAGACAGTCTAGACTTCAAGTTTCATATTACAGACAGTATGCATCTTTAACTCTACCTTATTTTATGTTCTCGAATTTATACAGCCTGAAGACTTTCACTTTTTTTTTGCTTTTTCTGAAGCCTTTTTCCATCGTAGATTCACATCTAGATTTTTGGATGAAATAGTACCTTTAGATAAAGCCTCTATATTAAGCCTCTTGAGCGAAATTATGTTCCTTTTTATTGGTCTCTAATGAAAGGTTTTCTTTGTATGTAACTTAAGTAGGTCTTTTATGTAGTAGGTAACAAGATTCTTCGTAAAACAAATTGTTTATTAATCCTTAACCCTTATAAATTAGGTAAACTTATAAATTAAACATAACTAATCTACATTAATTATCAGTTTCTTTGAAAATCGTTTGTACGTAAATCGAAATTCTCAGAAAACTAAAACAATCAACTCAACGTGCCTACTGAATAAATTATTAGATCCTGAAAACCTTGTTTCTCATGTATCTCATGGTATCTCAATGCCTACTTACTTTAACGCATCTGATTAACGCAATGAAGGATTTTATCGCGCATAAACCTACTTGCGGAAAAACCAATTAGTTTTATCAGTTCCGCTCCGGGTTACTTCAAAAGCCTAAACTATACATAATACATAACATAGCACACTGGTTATAAAACCAAGAACACTGCAGTAAGATATACCTAAGTAAGTTGATGACAATAAGAAATCCAATTTAGAAAGTGAACGCAGTGCCAATTCGATTAGAAAAAGAAAAGAAAAGCGAAAATTAATCGACTCACCGCTCTGCTATTCAGCCTGCATGTAGAGAAACTTTTTTAGTCTATGCACTCGCGAGCATTCCGTTTTAGAAGAAACAAAACAATTTTTGGATTTCGAATTCGGAATATTTACAATGTTATTTACAGTTTCGCCAGAATTCTCGGTGTAACTGGGCTGGCAAACGTCAAGTTTGTCCGCAGCGCTTCGCGCACGCGCGGCAATATGGCGCGCGCGGTCGATAGCGGCCTCTGATAACGTATCGCAAGGCTACCCTCATAGTTGGTGACATTGCGAGGAAAGGGTGATGTGGAAACGAGGTCACCGGTTTGTATTGCCCGCGTTTCCGGCCGCGGTGATGCCAGTTTAGGGAGTGTTGCCAGACCTGATATTTGAGAGTTGGTAGTAGAAAAATATGGGAAAACTAGTACTGCGATAGAAGTTTTAGTACGTTTGCAGTATAAATCATGCAAATTTTGTGAACCTCCTTACGTAAAATATTATGGCACTTGTACCTTTGAAAAATTAAGTTGATTCTTATGCAGGTCTTATAAATCTCTATTACTACTACGATGCTCCTATTTACCTATTTACTCAACAAATCATGGACCTAGTTAACTAGTTTCTAAGAAAATTTTCTGTGACTCATCTCAAAATACCAGAAACTTTTTTCTTCTTGCATGTTAGCTACGAGCTGAGTGCTATCAGTGCTATGCAGGTGGTGCAGCAATAGGTCCCATACAAACCAAGTTTCAGACCACCTTTAAGAGCTGCCGTGACGTCACCAGTCGTCATCAAACTCCACTGACAAACTATTTACTGACTTGCTTTTTCTTCTTTTGTGAGCTGTCATGACGTCAGAACCTTTACAGAGCTAGATAGAAAGCCTGGCGAACTATTTACTGTCTTCCTAACCACCTTTTATAATCTGCCTGACATCACCATCTTGCGAACCCAATGGACATCCATCAAACCCATCAATTAAGAAGAATGATGCCCTAAAGAGACTACTTTCTTTCATCCTAAACAGCAAAGAAAGGAAAATGAAAAAAGAAGAAAAAAATAACAAAATCCTATCAAGTTTCTCTCATCCTGAAATGTAAGAAAGGAACAGGGACAAAAGGAAAAAGAAGACAAATTACAAAAATCAACAGTTTATTCGACATCAACGTCGGAGTGCAGGTAGCGCACCTCCGGGTCATGCGTCGTCGAGCTGCCGTGACGTCACCAGCTCGCGTCCATTGATAAACTACTGATGTCTCCTCCACCTTTGGGAGCTGCCGTGACGTCACCAGCTCGGGAAGTCGATTGATAAAGTACTTACTGATGCCTACTCCATCTTTAGGTGCTGGCGTGACGTCACCAGTTCGCGAAGACAATTGATAAAGCAGATTGATAAAGATGGAGGAGGCCTCCATCTTTAGGAGTTGCTGTGACGTCACCAGCTCGCCAAGTCAATTGATATACTCGTGTCCGAGAGGCAAAGAGACGAGGATGCTGGCAGCATTTCTTCTCGATGGAAATCTACTTAGCTTTATCGCAAGGAAAGAACGCCAGCCCCGCGCCGCATACCAGCACCGCCAGCGTGACCAGAACCCCCTCCAGGCCACGAGCTGCGTGACGTCACCAGCTCGCGTCCATTGATAAACTACTGATGCCTCCACCTTTAGGAGCTGCCGTGACGTCACCAGCTCGTGTCGATTGATAAACTACTAACACCTCCTCCACCTTTAGAAGCTGGTGACGTCACCAGCTCGCGAAGACAATTGATAAAGTAGTTATTGATGCCTCCTCCACCTTTAGGAGCTGGCGTGACGTCACCAGCTCGCGAAGACAATTGATAAAGTAGTAACTGATGCCTCCTCCATCTTTAGGTGCTGGCGTGACGTCATCAGCTCGCGAAGTCAATAATTAATAAACTATGTTCTGACTTCCTCCATCTCCTTTTATCATTATGAGCTGTCATGACGTCACCTGCTTCCGAACTAAATTGAGGAAATTGAAACACGGTTTTCAGAGCAACACAGAGAGCCTTGGTATTATTGCATAGCTGCCCTCAAATTCACCAATTATGAAGAATGATGTCCTAAAGAGACTACTGTTAATTTCTTCTCCTTTCTTTCATCCTAAACAGCAAGAAGGGAAAATGGAAAAAAAGAAGAAAATAACAAAATCCTATCAAGTGTCTCTCATCCTAAAATTCAAGAAAGGAACAGGGACAAAAAGAAAAAGGAAAAAGAAGAAAAATTACAAAAATCAACAGTTTATTCGTCATCGTTGTCGGAGTGCAGGTAGCGCACCTCCGGGTCATGCGTCGCGCGGCCGCGCAGCGTGGCCAGCGCCGCCCGCCCCCGCGCGCCCCTCGCCCCCGCCGCTAGCCACGCCAGCCCCGCGCCGCATACCAGCACCGCCAGCGTGACCAGAACCCCCTCCAGGCCACGAGCTGCGTGACGTCACCAGCTCGCGTCCATTGATCAACTACTGATGCCTTCTCCACCTTTAGGAGCTGCCGTGCCGTCACCAGCTCGCGTCTATTGATAAACTACTGACGCCTCCTCCACCTTTAGGAGCTGGCGTGACGTCACCAGCTCGCGTCTATTGATAAACTACTGACGCCTCCTCCACCTTTGGGAGCTGCCGTGACGTCACCTGCTCGCGTCCGTTGATAAACTACTGATGCCTCCACGTTTAGGAGCTGACGTGACGTCACCAGCTCGCGAAGTCAATTGATAAAGTAGTTACTGATGCCTCCTCCATCTTTAGGTGCTGGCGTGACGTCATCAGCTCGCGAAGTCAATAATTAATAAACTATGTTCTGACTACCTCCATCTCCTTTTACGAGTTGTCATGACGTCACCTACTTCCGAACTCAATTGAGGAAATTGAGACACGGTTTTCAGAGCTAGACAGAGAGTCTTGGTATTATTGCATAGCTACCCTCAAATGCATCAATCAAGAAGAATGATGCCCTAAAGAGACTACTGTTGATTTCTACTCCTTTCTTTCATCCTAAACAGCAAGAAGGGAAAATGGAAAAAAAAAAGAAGAAAATAACAAAATCCTATCAAGTGTCTCTCATCCTAAAATGTAAGAAAGGAACAGGGAAAAAAAAGGAAAAAGAAGAGAAATTACAAAAATCAACAGTTTATTCGTCATCGTTGTCGGAGTGCAGGTAGCGCACCTCCGGGTCATGCGTCGCGCGGCCGCGCAGCGTGGCCAGCGCCGCCCGCCCCCGCGCGCCCCTCGCCCCCGCCGCTAGCCACGCCAGCCCCGCGCCGCATACCAGCACCGCCAGCGTGACCAGAACCCCCTCCAGGCCACGAGCTGCGTGACGTCACCAGCTCGCGTCCGTTGATAAACTACTGATGCCTCCACGTTTAGGAGCTGGCGTGACGTCACCAGCTCGCGAAGACAATTGCTAAAGTAGTTACTGATGCCTCCTCCATCTTTAGGAGCTAGCGTGACGTCACTAGCTCGTAAACTCCATTGACAAACTATTTACTGATCTCCTCCATATTTAGGAGCTGCTGTGACGTCACCAGCTCGCGAAGTCGATTGATAAACTCGTGTTCGAGAGACAAAGAGACGAGGTTGCTAGCAGCATTTCCTCTCGCTGGAAAGCTACTTAGCTTTATCGCAAGGAAGGAGCCAGCATATAGACTGGCTTTGTGTATGTAACATAAGGAAATCATCCTGAATGACGCTGATTGCTCGGCGCTGACGCCTCATTAGGTACATTTTGGCTGTCTGCGCCGGTCAGTCAGCGTGTAGTTAGCGCGATTCCAAACCTAGCCTTGTATTTTAAGGAAAATGGTCCGAAAGAGTAATTTGCATTCTGTCTCCAAGACTCAAGGTTTCAATAAAAAAAACTAAGAAAATAACGTAAGTCTCATCAACAGTTTATTCGTCATCGTTGTCGGAGTGCAGGTAGCGCACCTCCGGGTCATGCGTCGCGCGGCCGCGCAGCGTGGCCAGCGCCGCCCGCCCCCGCGCGCCCCTCGCCCCCGCCGCTAGCCACGCCAGCCCCGCGCCGCATACCAGCACCGCCAGCGTGACCAGAACCCCCTCCAGGCCACGAGCTGCGTGACGTCACCAGCTCGCGTCCATTGATCAACTACTGCTGACGCCTCCTCCACCTTTGGCAGCTGGCGTGATGTCACCAGCTCGCGAAGACAATTGATAAAGTAGTTACTGATGCCTCCTCCACCTTTGGGAGCTGCCGTGACCTCACCAGCTCGCCAAGTCAATTGATATACTCGTGTTCGAGAGGCAAAGAGACGAGGATGCTGGCAGCATTTCCTCTCACTAGAAATCTACTTAGCTTTATCGCAAGGAAGGAGCCAGCATAATAATATGGACTGGCTTTGTGTATGTAACATAAGGAAATCATCCTTAATGACGCTGATTGCTCGGCGCTGACGCCTCATTAGGTACATTTTGGCTGTCTGCGCGCGCCGGTCAGTCAGCGTGTAGTTAGCGCGATTCCAAAACTAGCCTTATATTGTAAGGAAAATGGTCCGAAAGAGTATTTTGCATTCTGTCTCCAAGACTCAAGGTTTCAATAAAAGAAACTAAGAAANCGAATTGAGGAGGTTGGGTGCAGAAAGAGAGCAGTTGCAGTCGGTTCTTCAGCGCCATCTGTTGTCGTGTCGGTTAAGCAAGCGGTCCTCGAGCCCGCCCGACGTGAAGCCCTTCAACGACCCGTACGAGTACCCCGCGATAGCTGACGACGGCGTGCGAGTCAAAGTGGAGGCGGTGGAACCCGCCATGGATCCCGTCATAGCGCTGGATAGCGATATCTTCACTTCGCCGATGCCAGACAAAAGGTAAGATTTTACAAATCGTTTTTTTTTTTAATCTTTGACGATTCTTGATTATTTACTAATACAAATGAGTAGGTCATCTTCATAGAAACGCACCGAGCGCGGTTTGTATGTGAGCGCGCCAATACGTATGCGGCGCGCACGCACACACTGACAAAATTTAGCGTGGATTAGCGCAGCATACGTATTGGCGCGCTCACATACAAACCGCGCTCGGTGCGTTTCTATGAAGGTGACCTACTCATTTGTATTTACTCTGGTATTAGACACAATTTTTTATCTAAATTCTATTTTTTTTTTTGACGCGTATTTATCATATTATTATAATTATTTATGGGGTCATGTAGTTACCGTTCTATTTTCATGAGGAAAAATTACAGAAGTGTTACTACGGACGTAATTTGTTAATTTCCTGGACAATTAATGCCATGTTAGATGTGCGAATTATTATTTTAAACCATAAAACAGATCTGTTAGATATCGAGTAGAGTAGTCGTACCCATTTAAGGCATGGCAGGTGTTTTTTCGTCGTTAAATTAATTAAGCATGCTCCAAAATATATCCACTGCCGAGTGACGTAACTAGTTTCTTATATGGCTGATGCAAACTTGTACAACTAAGCTCCGGCGAACTAAGCGACCGGGTTGTAGTTGCATACTGCACTGTCTAATAAAGGCTTAAAAAGTCAGCTTTGCTTATTAGTTGTTGCAATAGACATGTTGACACCACTAATCAATTGACGTACTTTTTAAAACTGTCAAAACGAAACTCTCCCATAGATTTTGTATGGCATTACAAGCAAGTGACGTCACTATTTTGTGAACTCAAATAAACTACTTTTTTCAATTACAATGCGACCAAAAATCGTAATTTACAGATAATCTATATATATAAAAATGAAACCCGTTTCGCGTTGTCACGGCATCACGTGTGAACGGCTGAACCGATTTCGATAATTCTTTTTTTAAAATGTTTGTGGAAGTCCAAGGATGGTTCTTACGGAAAAAAATATTAAGAAAATCTCTACGCTAAGGCGGTACGAAGTTCGCCGGGTCAGCTAGTTTAAAATGAAAATGTAGTGTCTTTTTAGAAAAGTTGTGAATTCGAATTATTGGAGAATGGTGTCAAATTGTCCATTCACGAAGGCGAGTGAGCTTTATGAGCCTTATTAATAAAAGTTACACCCTAGTTGAATTCTGGCTTAAGTTGTAATTTAATATGGAAATGTAATTTTAATCCAGAGTTCATCCTAGGTGTAACTTTTTATTAATAAGGGGGTATATGTGTGGGGGCTCGCTACTGTTCGTTTTTTAGTTTTTGATAGACACAACACTATCGTTATGTGTATGTACACGTACACACACAAGTAAAGCTCACTCGCCTTCGTGAGCCTTACCAGTCTCATTCCTTCCCCCAGGATAATGTTATCGGCGGCGAACCCGGCGGTGGTGACGTCAGCATCTGTGGTGACGCTGGATACGCCGCCCGCCGCGCGGCCCTCGCGGCCCACCTTCCTCCACGTGCCGCTACAAGCCAACCCCGCACAGGTAAATTAAAACTCATAAAAATCTTTCTTCTTCTTATAGTGTCGACAAAAAGCCTACACAGTGTCAGCTAGGGTTGCCAACTATACTTTTTTGAACAGTATTATACTGTTTTTCACTAAATTATACTTTTTACTGTTGAACAAAAATAAAGTATACAAAATACTGTTTTCAGCTAGCATCACTAGTATCCATTACTATCCATAGATATTTTTAAAAGTAAATGCCCAACACCACATTTAAGTACACGTTGTAGAGCTATACTGTTTGTTTTTTTTTTTAATACTGTCTGTTTTCCTTCTCCGACCTCTGATATACTTTATATTTTGAAAGAAAAGTTGGCAACCCTAGTGTCAGCCCAAAACTCCGCTACAAGAGTGGCGTTGTCTGCAGCATTCATTTATTTTATGCAAATAGGCTGTTACATGACCTAAACTGAACTGTCCTACCAAACTCATTGACAGAGGGACGCCACCATCGTTCAACTTTAAAGTTTCCAACACGGCAAAAATTTGAACCGTTTATGCTCAGAATGCCAACTTCTCAAAATGCCAACCGCTCGCAAAATGACAACTTCGCAGAATGCCAACTTCTCGAAATGCCAACTTCGCGAAATGCCAACTTCTCAAAATGACAACTTCTCGAAATGCCAACTTCTCGAAATGACAACTTCTCATAATGCCAACTTACAATTATAATGAATGCAGGAGCAGTGAATGCTACCACAAATAATAAAAATAATTAAAAAGTCCATATATTTACATTATCTCAATATCTTTATTTGTTACTATACAATCAATCAATACCTTTTCAATAATATAATCAATCAATATTTTAATTTTCATACAAATCAGATTTTATATTTTTTTTTTGTATGAAAATTAAAAAAATTAAAATGATGAAATCAAATTTCTGACTTCACCATACCATTTATATGACCATGTTAACATGGGCTAGTGTCGGCTCATATACCCATTTACCTAACACCCTGTATAATTGTTACAATCATTATCAAAATCAGATAAACAAAAACCAGGTACGGTCTGCAACAGCGAAACAATTATTTTACTAGATAAATTAACACATTACAAGGGCGATATAGTTTTGTCAAGTATAACTTGTGGATTTTTTAAAACTACCCTCATAACATAACATTATTTTCGCCATACACTATTTTATGATTCAAAGTGTACTGTGACCTTATCTGGTTTTTGTTTATCCGATTTTGAAATTATTGTAATAATTATATAAGTGTATGTCATTCAATCGACATTTGAGATGAGAGATTGAAGCGATACGACCCTAGTGTATTGATTGATTGTATAGTAACAAATAAAGATATTGAGATAATGTAAATATATGGACTTTTTAATTATTTGTATTATTTGTGGTAGCATTCACTGCTCCTGCATTCATTATAATTGTAAGTTGGCATTATGAGAAGTTGTCATTTCGAGAAGTTGGCATTTCGAGAAGTTGTCATTTTGAGAAGTTGGCATTTCGCGAAGTTGGCATTTCGAGAAGTTGGCATTCTGCGAAGTTGTCATTTTGCGAGCGGTTGGCATTTTGAGAAGTTGGCATTCTGAGCATAAACGATTGAACCCAGCGATCCGGTATTGACGGTGGCGCGCCCCGCTGTCAATGTCACTGATAGGACAGTTCAATATTAGGGTCTATACAAGTGGCGTTGTCAGCAGCATTCATTTATTTTCTACAAATAAGCTGTTACAAAACCCTCTTACACCTTTTTATTCGTCCTTAATGACTAGTCAAACGATTCTAAAACTTCAAGTGGCAAAAAACATAAACTAATAGTAGCGCCCTCCTGTAAATGTCTTAATTAATACGGTGGTCCAACGTGGCAAAAATCGGCTTATAATCCAGTATTGATAGTAGCGCCTTCCTGAAAATGTCATATAGTTCCAAAATACTGAACTGTCCTATCCATGACATTGACAGTGGGGCGCCACCGTCAATACCGGATCGCTGGTTCCGATTTTTGCCATGTTGGAAACCATATAGTTGAACGATGATAGCGCCCCCCTGACATTGAGTTTGGTGGGACAGTTCAGCGTGGGTCATCTATAACTGTTAAAATGTCATAAATGCCATAGTTTGGGAAACCCTGTCCTAAAAGATAACACTCAAATGGTTTTATTTTTAAAGATTTTCAACAATACATAATTAACTCGGTCATTGACATTCGCCAAAACGTTACTTTTCTATATGCCTTATCATTTACAAAAATAAATATAATAATGAGTTTACCTATTTACTTTAATGCATCATCGTTACAAAGCTAGTTATTGTTTAATAATAGTTAATGACTCAAGAGTTGAAAAATTGTGACTCATGCATACACACTCGTACCTTACTTATGACACCAACCTTGACCGAAGTCCAATAGATGGTCAAAGATTGAATTTCTGTTTGCATAAGAAAGATGTTTCAACACACTACTACTAAAAAGGAGTTGTGATTGTTTACAAATAACAGCAGATTTTTTGCTATTTGCTATTTATTGTTTGATTTGTGTTTCAAGTATTATTATAATAAAGAGGGGTCTTTACTTTATAGCATCGATTGTTTTATTTGTCAATGATGCAACTTCAAATATAGTTGTCTAATACTGAACCTATGACATTGTCAGGAGGGTGCTACTATTAACTAATTATTAGCTCCGTTTTTTGCCACGTTAGACATTCTTAAAATTTGACATTTACAGGAGGGCGCTACTATCAATACTGCGTTATAAGTTCTGATATTTGCCACTAGACGTTTTATCTTTCATATAGCCATTTTTTATAATAAGAACATTATTCATACCATCAGCAGAAAAAGGGGGTGGTCCTTTTATTTTATGGAAGGCTGCAGCTTCCTGCAGCTTCTGTAGAATGCAGATACTTATGTAAAAACGAATGCACAACTCACGACGCGGTTTTCGCCCGCAGCAGGCGCGGTTGTAATTGGGTCCCGCTCGGCGCAAATAACCGCTCCCGTGAGTTTTGAAATAAAACCGCAATTCCACAACCGCCGCGGGCGCGGGTGAAAATCGCGCCGTGAGTTCTTAGCCTAAGCGAGATTTTCACTCTGATAACGAAATAGCAAATTGTTGAGTCGTCTTCCTTTTACTTACAAATTCCATCTATTGTTCCAGAACCACAAAATCAAAGCGCTCGCCAACACGGACGCGCCCGGCGTGGAGATCAGCACACCAAGCAACGGCATCCCGTTCAACTTCGACAGCCTGATGGAAGGCGGCACCGGCCTCACGCCCGTCCACCCGCACCCCGCGCCGCGCGCCGCTCTTGCGCCCGACCACGCCAGCCTGGTCAGCCTCTGAGAACACCTCGACGCCGCCTACCCGCTGTTCGCGGCGCTCGACGCGCTCTAGGTGGCGCCACTGACGCGGTAACGCTACCGTTATTTTGAATTTTCGAGTCGCGTTATTTTTGGATTTTTATCTGTGGTCTGTGATCACGCGGTTGGCTTCGAGCGTGAGCTCAAAAACACCATTTAAAAAATAACATAATATGTGGTCTGCGACGCCATTTTTAAATTCAGTCAGTTCAGTGTGTACTGGACGAGAATCGGATTCGAAATCGTAGCGTGTAGGCGATTATTAAGTTTTACCGAAAGTAATGTTAAGCATTTTTAAATGGTATATCTAGTTTTATGCGAGATGACCGTAGTTAGCTATGGGGTTTACCAATAACTAGTCTCGAGGGATTAGATACTTATTGTTGTTCGATCAGGGGCGTCCTCCGGAGAATTTTGTAGATAGCGTCAGCTATGTGTAGTGAAATTTCAGTCAGTGTCGAGTTTAGTTCCGCATGACGCCACTGGTCGGACCGTTGTGGCGCCACTGGGCGCGCAAGACGCGGCGGCGCCGGACCGCGTTTGAGTCCGCAGACTACGGATTCTTTATTTATTCGATGTACTCTCTCGTTCGTGCCGATGTTCCCTTCCTCTCTCTCTATCGTTCTTCACTCGGCCTACTGTAAGGCGATCGGCTGTCCCTTTCTATTTATTGAGCTACATTTAGGTAACGTGTTGCTCACTATGTGCTTTTGTATTTATATCGTAGTCTAAATATTATATTGGCCTAGCGTTGCCGATCTACAGAGTCAATTTATGAGCTTTTTAAAGTTTAAAGGAAGATATTTTTATAAAGAAAAAGAGTTTGTAATGATGCAGAAATAATAATTGTGATTATGGAAAATAAAACAGAGTTTTATTTGAGCATTTCAGGGATTTTATTTCGTGTTGTGCTTAATATCTAGCGAGGCTAGACTTGATGGTGCGTTTATATTAAATTATATGTAAAAGATCTCTTTTACACCGTACTATAAGAAAAGTTTCGGCACAAATGTTTTTAAATTCATTGCATACAATCTTGTCATAATAAACTGTGTGCCATTTTCTACGTCTACTCTCAAGATAACAATAATGTCAAATATTTAGTTAACCATTAACTAACAGATTACTTAAAGAATAATTAATATATTGATTGTAAGTTAGCTCAATGTTAATGTAACGTATTACCGTTCCATTGGTTTAGATACTGGTAGTGTAACATTACTGTAAGCGACTTGTGATACGTCCAGTGATGGCCGCGCTGCGGTACGTGAATATGTGACTCGTGTCTTATACAGCAATATTTACAATAAATATGTATTAAATTATACTAGCTAAATCATAGCAATACAAAATTATGGAAATTTTATAGCTACACTACTCAAAATAAATTATGACATGAGTTACAAATTTCTTAATGCTAAGACCACTGGAATTAAAAATATATTATATTTAAGGCAATAATTAGTTTAAGGGCACTTAAAAATTAATTATAATATTCGTAACTTAGACCAAATTATTACTTTACTTGCTTTATTGTAGATTTATTTAAAATCTAAGCCAAATATTGATTTTATGTCGTTATTATAGGTTTTAGTTGTAGCCGTCATTTACTTTGAAGTATTATTGATTAGAAACGACAGAAATCAATGAATATTTATTTAGTGTATATTTAATATTTATCAACATTGTAACCTAGTGCAATAGTGCGCGGTACTTTGCATATGTTTAAAGAAACGACATTTTATACACGCAAACGAATGTTTATAACGCATAATATGAACATCTAGATACATAAGAGAGATGTAATTTTTTCTAGAAAGTTTTTTCATAACGCAATGTAGAGTACTTTTGTATTTTTTCATGGAGTTAAGCAAAGCAATACTTATATTTGATAAAACTATTGGAAATGATCGTCGGATATAGTGAAATATATAATATGTAAATCAGAAAATATAAATTTGTTACATACACCTGGATTTGGGCTTTTTATTTTTAAATGTATCCTTCTTTTTGATCTTTTGAGTTACCTAAGTTTAAAAGATAAACAAATACTAGCGAACCGATAGCAGACACAGAAAAAAGTTTATTTTTATTTCAAGTGAACGATGCGGCCACTACGCTTCCTCATTTGGTATTTGATGTGGTTCTTTATGGCCATATAGACATAGAATGGGAGCTCCAATGCACTTATAAAACTTACTCCAACGCACAAACCGAATACCCCGCCCAAGTTTGCTGAAAAACAAAACAATAAAATTAATAAAAAGGATCTTACACCATACACTTTTCATAAGTTAGGCCTCAGCCTCGAACTTAGCGGGCAGCGGGGCGGCGGCGGCGGCGGCGCGGGAGCGGCAGGATCTTATGCGTAAAATCAAATAGACCGGTTCTCGAAAACAGCGGCGCGGCAGCGGCGCCGGAGCGGGCAACGAGCGGGCAGCGGCGAGGGAGCGGGCAACGAGCGGGCAGCGCACTCCTTCTTTTGCCCACAATAAATCGAGCGTTAGGAATAAATTTGAATCGAAATAAAATTGTCGCCGTTGTTCAGACATTTCGTTTGCGAATAAAAACAAATATCTCGACAACACAACCCCGAACACAACACTTCGCCGCTAAAGCGCCGCGCGAGCTGCCCGCTTGTTTCGAGAACGGGTCTGCGTTGCCCGCCCCGCTCCAGCGCCGCCGCCGCTCCCGCCCCGCTGCCCGCTAAGTTCGAGGCTGAGGCCTTAAGGCTGGCTGGGGACAAACTCCTTACAAAAAACACCAGTTATCGTTATAGTTACGGTTAAAGTTGCAACTGAAAGTACTTACACGCTAAAGTGACGATGGATATCACCGTTTCTTGTTTTTGCTTCACGTAGACAGAGTTAGGAAAGAAGAAGTGCATGATGGCGGTGCTTTTGTTAAACTTTATGCCCCTGCTGTAAATAAATAAAAAAACTACATGAAATTTATTCGTACACTCGAAGAACGGGATTTGTATCTGGTTTGGACCGAGAGAGTAGTTTCTTCTATTCTTGATTGAGTATTCTGGTGAAGGGGGTCGATTCAGAATTGATTTCAAGTGTCTAGAACACTGTTGCACCAGCATAAGAATTCGGATAGCAAAAAATGATGAATTTCAACTTGCTAACCTTCATCATCATCATAATCAGGTCGTTTTATCTCCACTGTAGAAAGACGACTCTATACTACCAGAGACAAAAGGGAGGATGTATGGGACGAGTGGGACTTTCCCATTTACTATCCAAAGTAGAGATGAAACGGATATCCGGTAACTATCCGGTAGGCCGGATATCCGGCCTTAATTTACTATCCGGCCGGATACCGGATAGTAACTCACTATCCGGCCGGATACCGGATATTAAAAAACTACGACAATTTCCTATTAATGAAATGAAATACATTAATCTTAGAGGTAAACATCAATAAAATGGCTTAGGTATAATAATGACGGCTTTTATTTAAAGTCCAAAATTTACAAAAAGCCATATTAAGGCCTTTAAAAAAACTAATTTCTTTATTCTTGGCTATTCACTCTAAATACGAATACATAAAATAGTAAATATCTGTTAAGTCGAAATATTGCCAATAAAATAGGCGATCCTTTTTTCACTGATGGTTTTTTCAAATCAATCTAATCAAATCAAAAAATATTTATTCAGTTTAGACCACAAGTGGCACTTATGAACATCAAAATATTATTATAGAAAATAATAAACAAAGAAAAGGCAGCCCTTATGGGGCACATGTCTCCTTATCTTTTGGGCCCTACCAGCGCTTCGAGACAAACATATTATGGCAAGTGCTGAGAAGAAATGCCGGAACAAACTCAGTTTGATGTCATGATGCAGTTCAGTAGATTACGCAGCAAGTAAACTAATTTAATTTTCACTATTCAATCACACACTCACGATGGCAACCGAAATCGCCCGAATCCATCTGCCCCCTAGACAAGTGATAAAATCTGACATTCTATTCGGACTGATTCGATTTTCGAAAAGTGTGACTAGTCTAGTCTACTAATAGACCCACTGATCGCGTTCGAAGCACCTGTGCGGCGCTAAACTCGTTACGACATGCAACGATACAATGGGCCAACTATCCGGCCGCCGGATATCCGGCTATCCGGCCTAGCAGCTGGCCGGATATCCGGTATCCGGCCAAACAACTATCCGTTTCATCTCTAATCCAAAGGATAAAAACTAAAGGAGAAGGACCATTATAAACACAAATGATACTGACTACATATCGTTGAACATGTACGGCAGCGCGTCCAGGTTTCCCGTGGACAGCTCGACGGTGTAGCGGCGCGACTCGCAGTCTCGCAGGCACTTGCACGTACTAGCCTTCTGCGGTGGGTGGCGACTTACTGGAATACATGAAATACAAGTAATTTGCGTCAAGTATTTGACCAGTGTGTGTTGCCAGTGATGGTATATGGATCTGAAACGTGGTCGCTTACTATGGGCCTCATAAGAAGGCTCAAGGTCACCCAAAGGGCGATGGAGCTGGCTAAGCTCGGAGTTTCCCTGCGTGATCGAATCAGAAATGAGGAGATCCGCAGGAGAACCAAAGTAACCGACATAGCTCGCAGAATTGCTAAAATCAAGTGACAGTGGGCGGGGCACATAGCTCGTAGAGACGATGGCCGTTGGGGCAGAAAAGTTCTCGAGTAGCGACCACGGGCTGGAAGACGTAGCGTGGGCAGGCCTCCTACTAGGTGGACCGACGATCTGGTGAAGGTCGCGGGAAGAGCCAGGATGCGGGAAGCGCAAGACCGTTCATTGTGGAAAACCTTGGAGGAGGCCTTTGTCCAGCAGTGGACGTCATTCAGCTGAAACGAACGAACAAACAAGTAATTTGAGCAAAGTATCCCTCCAACAACAAAGGTTGGAAAATCATGATAGTAAACTCAGTTTTTCGGAAGGGAGACGCGCGCGGATAAAGTCTGTGTGACTAGTCAAAAACAAAGCTCTTGATGGATAATTCAATTTTTCTAATGATGGACACATGACCTCATAAAGGTTACAGGAAGGCGCTGGATGCAGGCCGCTGCTAACCGGCGAATCGGTAAATCATTGGAGGAGGCCTATGTTTAGCAGTGGTGGATGTCCTGGATTAGCTGAAATGATGATGATAATACACACGCTTAGTCTCCTCCCCGATGCACTTGATGCACCAGATGCAACAGTTCGCAGCCGCAGTATAGCTCTTGATGGAGTCCTCATAAAAAAATAAAGACCTCATAAAGGTNAAAGGTTTCAGGAAGGCGCTGAATACAGGCCGCTGCCAACCGGCCCAGCTGGGAATCATTGGAGGACGTCCTGTCACTGAAATGATGATAAATCTCCTCACGCTTCGTCTCCCCGATGCACTTGATCTTGCTGGCGTTCCAGACGAGCGTCAGTCGCACGTACGGCAAGTAGAACAGTTCGCAGCCGCAGTAGCTCATGATGGAGTCCTCATAAAAAAATAAAGACCTCAAAGGTTTCAGGAAGGCGCTGAATACAGGCCGCTGCCAACCGGCCCAGCTGGGAATTATTGGAGGACGTCTTGTCGCTGAAATGATGATAAATCTCCTCACGTTTCGTCTCCCCGATGCACTTGATCTTGGTGGCGTTGCAGACGTGCGTCAGTCGCACGTACGGCAAGTAGAACAGTTCGCAGCCGCAATAGCTCTTGATGGAATCGGCGAAGCACACGTGGTCGCAGTCGGAGTTGTGGTAGTCGTGGAAGTAGGGCAGGTGGCGCTCGTCTTTGAGGTAGCATTTGCGACTGACGAATAAAGAAATGAACGAGATGAAGAGAATAGGTTAGCCAGGAAATAACTGTAAAATAGGATCTTTAAAACACACCATACAATACTGACTGACAAATATTGAAACAGTACAATTTAGGTGGAATGATCGCTAGGAAACTCTCTTCCAGGTAACCTCTTAGGAGAGAGCAGTGGAACAGTTCAGGAATCTACTAGTTATCCGCTTTGCCTGTATGCCATAGAACCACATGCTAAATTAACTTTAAATTCCCATGTTCTTCTGATAAATTTCGTTGCGGGTCCAATGACAGTTTTATTTTTTAACTTTCCCCCGGGACAAACTTGTTTCACTGGTTGGATTTTTATTGGAGGTCGATCTGTAGATCCTAGCTACACAGGAGTTGCAACGGTGGGAACGAGAGGTGGAAATAGTCCCGTATAGATGACATACCGCAACCTGCATAAGGTCAAGCTTCGTTTCGTATAGATATACATAAGTATTCCTGTAGTGGAGGCTAAAATTAAATAGTCTGATGATGATGATGACGAATGAGGTGTTACCTCGTCACCGGCAGCACTTTAACGTCCTCCGAGCAGTAGGTGTGCGTGGCGTGGATGATGTGCAGCGACTCCGTGTTGGTCAGCACCAGGTTGGACACGTCATCTGCGGGGAACTCCGTGTGGTCCGTGAAGAGAACCTTGGATAAACAATACAGGGTGTAAAAGTCATGAAAGTAATTTATTGTATTACAAATAAGGACAATGAATTGTGAACAACTTAAAAATAAAAGAACAAGCGAGGTAATTATTCTTATTTTTGTTATTTACTTTCAAAGGGCGCTTTTGTTTATCGCAGCGCCGCCCTAACTCAATAATATGGGCAGACGTCCACTGCTAAGCATATGATATGAATGAATGAAGGAATTCCAAAATTCCAGTACACAGTTTGGCCTAAGTAGGTAGAGAAAATCAGATTTTTTTTAGGTATATATGCTGTGATAGGGGTGTATGTAGTAACATTTTCAGGGATGTGGAAACTGACCTCCCTGAAGGGGGGACCCTTCAGTTCGCCCATGTTGCCTCTCATTTAGTATAATATTACCCGTATTCCTCCAGCGGCAAGTATGGTCCTGTCAATGGCGCCTGCCGGGTTGTAGTCCACCACCACCGTGAACGCATTGTTCAAACTTGACGAAAACGCCAAACGGCTGGTGAAGTTAGCTTTAACTTCGTTTCTGAAACAGCAAGATGTTTTCGACTTTATAACTTTGGTACCTATAGGTACTTCACTAGAATCTAGAAACCTTGAAGCGTTAGATATTATATGCTTAGTTTCAAAATACCAAGTGGCGCGCATACGATCCTATAACTTTGCTATCGTCGTTCATTCTAGTAATGGACTGCTAATAATGTTACAATAGGCAATGGTACAATGATGATGTACAAAGGGGCACTATAACGACTCGCGGCTTCGTTTTAGGCTTTTGGGCTTGGGTGGATACCATCTGGTTTTAGAGGGTATTATGCCCCGCCTTTAGTGAGAAGGCAGGGAGAGTCCCACATAGATAACTCACTGGCGGTCGTCATTGACCAAAGCATTTCCCGACGTTAAAAAAAGGGCAAGATAAGTATATGAAAATTAAACGAGTAGATACCTTTTATTAGTCTTGACGTAATGGTACTTGCTGTTAAAAGAGCAGCAGAGGCCATATGTGGTCAATACAGGGTCGAAGAGCCCCCGGCAGTGCGGGTAGCGCGTGTGCCCCAGCTGGCACATCTGCAGGAACTCGTCACACTGCTGCGGCAGCATCGCTAGCACTTCGGTTGTCTGCCATTGTCAAAACACTTCATTACATTACCTACTTATAACTAGATTATTTCATCCACGAAGACACGCCCCACCATTCTTCCGCTAATGTTTGAGTGTTAAAGCTTGGTCCGTGAGCACGTAGAATTTTGTCCAATGACCCCAAGCTACACATCCTTATCGCTCGTCGCGACTGTGCGACGGGCGCCCGCAGTGAGTGTGCGAGCGCGACAGCAACATAATTACGCGCGAGCGATAAGGATGTGTAGCTTGGGGTCATTGGACAAAATTCTACGTGCTCACGGACCAGGCTTTATCAGTACACGCTAAATTATCCATGAGTGCACACGCACACTACAATAATGACGCCCCGCGCTACCTTCGTCCCTCAGCTAAAAGTGGTGGGGCGCGTCTTCGTGGATGAAACGATCTATAACATGCGATTAATTTGCACCATTATTCTATTAAGTTGTGTTGGTTGGTTTATAGCGTAAATAGAAGGATGTATTTTGGTAGTTGCTTATGCTTAGTTGTTAACTGTTCTCCCTAAAGGGTACTCGTTTCGTTCCAATGAAGAGTAAAAGGCTTTCTGTATTTTATTGACGAATTTCTTTGTAAAAATTATATTTAAAAAAACTTCGTAAAAAAGTGAGTATCAGCATGTTTTAGGGAAACGAATCAAATAAGGTAATCTTGTAATGCTTACTGTATATCTGTTGAGGTCAATTAATGACTGCAGTTGGTGCGCCGTATCGTCTGAGGACTGCAACGCAGGGTCATAAAAACCCAGCACTATGGGAATAATACGATCGAGGTCTGCTGTCACGTTACCATCTCTGAAAAATTATCCCATTACTATGGTATACTCGTAGATAGTTTACTTCAGTTTTTTTCAATTAGCAATTTGTAAATAGGGTCAAACCCATGTGGACATACTTATTAGGCTTAGCCTAACGCGTCTTAGGCCTATCATCTCCGGTGTAAGTGTGACGTGCTAATTTTAGACACCCTGTATATGATGCTCCGCATGCCTTTGGCGTATCTCATGTTCATTTTTCAGGTGGGGCCTGGCCTCTGACATGCCATGATACGGGGCGGGGTGCGATTGGTATCACAGCTCATGAGTACCTACTATCAACTATCATTTGGTTTGTTGCGCGCTTCTTCTCAGCACTTGCCAAATGTTGGTTTCGAAGCGCTGGTAGGGTAAAAAGATTATGAGACATGTAGAGGCTCCTTAAGAGCAAAATGACGATTTGTAAAAACTATATATTAGTCTAAACAAATAAAGAAATTTTGACTTTGACATTTTGAATCGGTAGCCCAACATACTGGGGGACCAGACAATGGACATGGCGCACAATTTTTGTTGAAGATGCCAAAAAAAACTACAAAAAATTAGAATGAATACTGTATTTTTACTTTTTTGATATCTTTAAAAATGACTGAAATATTCAAACTCAAAGTGCGCTCTTCCGCTAGGAGCGATTTTCCGCGCGGATTTTGAAAATGTGACGTAGTAACATGAAAAGCTGCATGTAAGATATTATCTGTGTACAATGGTAAGAATGGTTAGTAGGGGAGCCGAAGCGGGGATTTCGGGACTTACTAAAGAGTGGCAGACTAACATACAAGGAAATACTTTGTACCTGGTTGATTACCTCTAAGTATGAATTTTTGATATAAAACGGCATTAGTTCTTATGCCTCTGACCCAAAAAATACCTCAATTAAGCCCAAATTTGAGACCGCAGCCAAACTTTGAGTGACGATGGAAACTAGCCTAGATGGAGGACACATGAAATTGAACTTCTGCTTCTTCATTGATAAAGACTTATCATTTACCATACCTTATCATTTTGTATTCCATTTGCAAGTCACTTTTTTTTCGCTTACTGTAAAACAAAACGTGGGATTTTTTTAAATCTTAGGTCTTTTGAACGCACATCTGAACTATATTACTTTATGTAACTAATTTTATTATGTATCATACTTATAACTAATCACTTCATTCAGAACTAGAAAACGATTCTAAGGATTCCACTTTTCTTCAATAGATGATCAAGATAAAGAGGTATTTATTATAAATTGCTCTTCCACCATTTCAATTATTCTATCTTACATCTAACTTGATGAAATCTTTTTCAATTTTATTTACATGGTCATAACATTTTCACCATTCCTCTGCACCAATTTGTGAGGTACACCTGAAACCCCCGATAAAGCAGCTATTATAAGAATAATATTTAAAAAAAAAACCCTTCTGACGCAGTTAGGTAATAAACTAAATGTATCAAATTTCACTCCAACTTACTGTCAAGTCAACGACGCGCTTTAAAATCAAAGATTGACTTTAAATTATGCCTTATTTTACAATACACATTGAAAACAATATGACTTGCTTGAGCTTTTTCGACTTTTTCACAACTAATATTTTCTAATTATCTGTTTGGCGGACAAATAATTGAAATTTTGTCATCTAGCCTAGTTGTCGTCAGGAAGTTGGTCTAACTAATTCAGCTTGCAACTAGTTCAGCTTGCAAGATTCCACCCGAACAAACATTTATGTAATTACCTACATACATCATAAATTGCAAGCTAAATAAAAGCTTGTAATAAAGTCGGATTTGTTCAAATTTCGAGAACGACTGAACCGACAAAAGCATTAGAAAATTTACGAAAAATAAAATAAAATTTTATCCCGTACAAAATGTTCATGGATTTTGTTATTTTTATTAAATACCTTTAAATGACACCGACCNAAGACCTCATAAAGGTTTCAGGAAGGCGCTGAATGCAGGCCGCTGCCAACCGGCCCATCTGGGAATCATTGGAGGACGTCCTGTCGCTGAAATGATGATAAATCTCCTCACGCTTCGTCTCCCCGATGCACTTGATCTTGGTGGCGTTGCAGACGTGCGTCAGTCGCACGTACGGCAAGTAAAACAGCTCGCATCCGCAGTAACTCTTGATAGAGTCGGCGAAGCACACGTGGTCGCAGTCGGAGTTGTGGTAGTCGTGGAAGTAGGGCAGGTGGCGCTCGTCTTGGAGGTAGCATTTGCGACTGGGTAGAAGTAAAATGCATTTAATGATCAAAAGAACTGCTTTAGTATGAAATAATGGCCCTACACGAAAAATATTTTAGGGAGACAAAGGATTATAATTTCGCACATGTTCTACCTATACGGTTTCTGCGGCAGTAGAGCTTACAGACCTATTTGTAGTAGAGATTTTACCAATCACCACCGCAGCAGAAAGCTACTCAGTTACGCGCTAATGCCTGTCCAATGTTCTGAGGGCTTAGTGTGAGTAAACGCATGCAAACTCACACTCAGCCCTCTGTGTCTGTAATAGAAGAAAGGTTAAGTAGTGGAGGTAACTTAACTGACGAGTGACGATGGAAAGAACCAGCACTTGTCAAGTCTCATAAACTGCTATTTTCTCCTCGATCACGGTAGCATAAAGGGCACAGATGCACCACAAAAATGTGGAATTCGGGCTTCGCCAACCGATCTGTATAAAGTATAGGACAAATCCTCCATCTGAACTGAAATTCGTGTTCCTGCAGCGAAGAATCAATGACCTAACAATGATGATGAACGAGGACTCACTGTCGAATGAGCAAGCTAACCTCGACACCGGCAGCATTTTACCGTCCTCCGAGCAGTAGGTGTGTTTTCTGATAAACTGCTGTTTAAAAAGTGTAAAGGCCATATTATATACTCCCAAGTCGCTTTCGGCTACGGTAACTGCGACAAAATTCCTTTAGTCCGCAATAAGAGGGCTACGCTGGGCTGCCCTATCATGTGCCCTCACATGGCTACAGTAGCCAATCTTGTTGGTAAAAGTGCGCGAACAATGTCGACACGTTAGGACACCGCTGATGTAGTTGTAGGTGATAGCCGCTGCTGGTCTAGCTTTAAGAGCATCACGCTTCGAGTCAAGATCAGATTGCAAAGGCCATAACAGCCACACAGATATGTGAATAACAGTTTAGGTCTTGTCAAGTGTCCGACAAGAGCGTGGGGAGTATAAGTCAAATCCTCCATCTGCCTTTGGTAAATCAGAGAGTCGTTCTTTTACAGCTCAGTGACCTGACAATGATGATGAACGAGGTCTCACTGTCAAATCAAACTAACCTCGTCACCGGCAGCACTTTAACGTCCTCCGAGCAGTAGGTGTGCGTGGCGTGGATGATGTGCAGCGACTCCGTGTTGGCCAGCACCAGGTTGGAAACGTCATCTGCGGGGAACTCCGTGTGGTCCGTGAACAGGACCTTGGATATATCAGGGTGTTAAAGTCATAAATCAATGAATTGTAAACAAAAACTTATAAACTTAAAAGTAAAAGAACAAGCGAAGAAATTATTTTTGATATTACTCGTACTTTCAAAGGCCACTTTTGCTTACCGCAGTTATTTACGGGAATAAACTTATTTTTAATACTGCCCTAGCTCAATAATGTGGGCTAGTGCTGAGAGGCAGCCCATCATCATTTCAGAACATCGGTAAATGAATCCAAAAATTCCAGTCCGCAGTTTGGCCTAGGTAGAGCAAATGAGATTTTATTAGGCTCTCGCGCGCTTAGATATCTACGGACGAAAAATAGCGTAACGTAGGCTAGGTAGGTAGGTATGCAGGGGACCTATGGTAGGGGTGTATGTAGTAACATTTTCAGGGAAATGGAAACTGGTCAGTTTTCTGAAACTAACCTCCCCCCCTTCAGTACGCCCGTGATGCCTCTCATTTAGTATGTCTATTTACCCGTATTCCTCCAGCGGCAAGTATGGTCCGGTCGATGGCGCCTGCCGGGTTGTAGTCCACCACCACCGTGAACGCATTGTTCAAACTTGACGAAAACGCCAAACGGCTGGTGAAGTTAGCTTTAACTTCGTTTCTGAAACAGCAAGAAGATATTTTCGACTTTATAACTTTGGTACCTATAGGTACTTCACTAGAATCTAGAAACCTTGGAGCGTTAGATATTATATGCTTAGTTTCAAAATACCAAGTGGCGCGCATACGATCCTATAACTTTGCTATCGTCGTTCATTCTAGTAATGGACTGCTAATAATGTTATAATAGGCAATGTTACAATGATGATGTACAAAGAGTTGAAATACCTACTTAAGGGTCCTCTAGGGGCACTATAACGACTCGCGGCTTCGTTTTAGGCTTTTGGGCTTGGGTGGATACCATCTGGTTTTAGAGGGTATGCTCCGCCTTTAGTGAGAAGGCAGGGAGAGTCCCACATAACTCACTGGCCGTCCCCATTGACCGTGGGTATGCTCAAAGCATTTCCCGACGTTAAAAAAAGGGGCGAGATAAAATTTAACGAGTAAGTAACTACCTTTTATTACTCTTGACGTAATGGTACTTGCTGTTGAAAGAGCAGCAGAGTCCGTAAGTAGTGAGCACGGGGTCGCACTGCTACGGCAGCATCGCCAGCACTTCGGTTGCTTCTGCCATCATTGCCATTGTCAAACCAAAATGGAACGTGTAGGTACCTTTTATTACTCTTGACGTAATGGTACTTGCTGTTGAAAGAGCAGCAGAGTCCATAAGTGGTGAGCACGGGGTCGAAGAGGCCCCGGCAGTGCGGGTAGCGAGTGTGCCCCAGCTGGCACATCTGCAGGAACTCGTCGCACTGCTGCGGCAGCATCGCCATCACTTCGGTTGTCTGCCATTGTCAAAACACTTCATTACATTACCTACTTATAGATTGTTTCATCCACGTAGACGTCCACCATTCTTCCGCTAATGTTTGAGTGTTATCAGTACACGCTAAATTATCCATGAGTGTACACGCACACTACAATAATGACGCTCGGATTGCTCGGATCAAAATCCCCGCACCCGCGCTACCCTCAGCCAAAAAGTGGTGGGGCGCGTCTTCGTGGATGAAACGATCTAGAACAGGCGATTATTTTACACCATATTCTATTAAGTTGTGTTGGTTGGTTTATAGCGTAGATAGAAGGATGTATTTTGGTAGTTGCTTATGCTTACTTAGTTGTTAACTGTTCTCCCTAAAGGTTACTGGTTACGTTCCAATAAAGAGTAAAAGGCAATTTTAGTCTTTTATTGACGAATTTCTTAGCAAAAATTATATTTAAAAAAACTTCACAAAAAAGTGAGTATCAGCATGTTTCAGGGAAACGAATCAAATAAGGTAATATAATATGCTCACTGTGTATCTGTTGAGGTCAATTAATGACTGCAGTTGGTGCGCCGTATCGTCGGAGGACTGCAACGCTGGGTCATAGAAGCCCAGCACTATGGGAATAATACGATCGAGGTCTGCTGTCACGTTACCATCTCTGAAAAAAATTATCAGGTTACGAATGGTACCTATAGTTTACTTCAGTTTTTTAAATAAGCAATTTGTAAATAGGGTACATGTGGACATACTTACCTATTAGGCTTATTCGATACGCGTATCGAACAAGCCTAACGCGTCTTAGGCCCATCATCTCCGGTGTCAGTGTGACGTGCTAATTTCGGACACCCTGTATATGATGCTTCGCATGCCCCCTTTGGTGTATCTCATGGTCATTTTTCAGGTGGGGCCTGGCCTCTGACATGCCATGATACGGGGGCGGGGTGCGATTGGTATCACAGCTCATGAGTACTATCAACTATTATCTTTGAATCGGTAGCCCAACATCCTGGGGGACCAGACAATTCAAGGGTGCGCTAGGGCAAGCCCCGCTATCATGCACGCCCCTAGTTTGTTGGCGGCACGGTACATCATATTGTAGCACCATAAGGTGCGTACGGATTGCTCGTACCTACCCTGGTACGCGTACTCAGTTTACGCGTATCCGGAACGCCTAGTCCATGTATGTATGGACCAGTCAATGTATGTATGGACTAGGCGTTCCGGATTCGCGTAAACTGAGTACGCGTAACAGGGTACGAGCAATCCGTACCACGCACCTTTAAATTGATAGCGATATTTTAACAAAAATATAATCTGAAGAGCTATCGACTTACACTAAGGTTTTGTTGAGATGGTGGACAGCGGCGATAGTGATCCTATTGGGCGAGCAGATGGTTATTGTAGGGTAGGGCAGGTCCTTGATGGACTCGTACTGGTTCTCTATGGTGATACGTGTAGGCATGTCTGCGAAGCGCATGTATAGCAGATACGTGAGGAACCACGCCATCATAAACATCGCAGCCACTAGCACTGCCCAGAAAGACCTGTATGGAGGGGAAAAATGAGATAAACTAAATGTCGTTTGTGGTTTCAGCACAAACGCGAAGAATCATCTTACCCCACGGGATCAACTCGTACCTGATTCTGTTCTTTTCATGAAGGGGAAAGTATTCCCCTACATGAAAAGAACAGAATCTGATTCGAAAAGAAAGGTTTCTAGTGTTCAAACACCTATTTACAACATCTTTTGTTTAGTAGGATCAAATAAGCTCCTTTCGGATTGAACTTACTTAATTCAAAAAACCTTGAAATCAAAATGTATCTGCCTATCTTAGAAAGAGTCTTCCATTCAGTAGAGAACTTAACTTTATGCTTCTGAGATTTTTTTGAAGCATTTGATTTTCAAGCGACATTACGATTTTTATTTAAATGTAAGTAAATAAATGAATACTTTGATAACAAACCTTGATATTGGATCAGGGTACACATAAAAGTACTTCATCACTGTCAAGCTGCCATCTAAGCAAAATCTTCGAAAGAGAGTACGAAAATTGCCTTTCATTGTTAAAATAATATTATTACTGTAATTTAATTAAATTTTCTAAAGTGTATTATTTTGTAGATGTCTCCCGACGGTTAGCAGCTGCTATCTTTTTAAAACAATGAATGAAAAAACATATTACAATTTTGTATTAATCATATTAATGTGACACACGGAAATGCAATTAAGTTTCATTAAATTGTCTGTTGATTAGAATCATAGCAGCTGCGAATTGTAGATAATGTGACCTTCTATGTTGGCCTTGGTAAAAGCTTTTATTTTAATCAAGTAATTTGACCAGATAGTGTGTTCTAAACTTAAGGGGCATAAAATAAAACAATATTTAAGAAAACTGTATAAAGTGATTTTATTGAGAATTCTCGTTTTTTTAAATATTATAACAACATGCAGAGCAATCAAATAGGTATTTTAATCTGAAACAATTCCTCTAAATAGCATTCTATGAAATATATTCAAAACTATGTTAGTATAATATTTCTGAATTGGTAGAAAAAAATGCTACATATTTTACGCAAAGTTATGTTATTAAAATAATCCGAAACTTTACGAGTAACAATCTATTATTGTAAAAATATATTGCTTTTAAAAAGCAAGAATAAGCTTAAACACGAAAATACATGCAAAAGATGTATGTATGTATGTTGGGATTGGATAAGTGTGTAATACCACGGAACACGCTTCTTATACATGTTGAATAAATAGCTTTTTTTGCAAAAGACTCTATATATTTGTATGTAGTCGACTGCATCTACATAGCCATAATCCGATAAATTATCTATAACTGAGAACGAATTGTTTTCTAAAGCTATTAAAATTTAAGACTATGATGATTGAAAATTTGTGTAAATAGAACTCAGGTTACTATAAATCAATATAAATCATTAGAACATTTATTTTATTGTAATTAATATTATCTTATTATTTGTTAAAATATTTTTATCTGAGCAGGTACTATTTTTGGCTGTCAAGTTTATATTTTTACTAGAAGCTTATTACATTATATGTAAAATACACATTTCGTGTGAAAATTTAGTCCTAAATAGTTTTTATTATAGTAGTTTACATATCCTGGAGGGACAACTATTTATTTATGAGCAAATACAATATGTAATTGAAGAGGTTTAGTAAAGAGCAATTCAAACTGTGATAGGTATAATAAGTATTAAAAAGCTATGCTACGCTTTATTGGTCGGTTAATATAATCTAAAGAACACATACTATAGATTGGAAGTGCCTTTAATAAATTTAAAATCATCCTCCTAAGCTTCATGCTATGAAACTCTGGTCAAAACTTGATTCAAATTCAAACATAGAGGAGTTCCTTCTGTGATTGGTTTATCTATAGTCTATACTAATAATAATGCTATAAAGCTGAAGAGTTTGTTTGTTTACTTGAACGCGCTAATCTCAGAACTGCCGGTCCGGTTGAAAAATTATTTTAGTGTTAGATAGCCCATTTATCGAGAAAGGCTATAGGCTATATACCATCACGCTACGAGTAATAGGTGCAGAGCAAAAATGAAAAATGTTGCGAAAACGGGTTTTCACGCGTACGAAGTCGCGGGCACAGCTAGTCTACTATATAAAAATAAGTCGGGTTTTCCTCCCTGACGCTATAACTCCAGAACGCACGAACCGATTTCCACGGTTTTGCATTCGTTGGAAAGGTCACGGGCTCCGTGAGGTCTATAGCAAAGAAAATTCGGGAAAAGGGGATAAAACGGGATCCACGCGTACGAAGTCGCGGGCGGCCGCTAGTTTTTAATATTTATTCCGCTTTTACACTTATAGGTTTTACCAGTTTTACTCACGTAAGTAACATACGTACGTTATAACGTAAACACTCTTTGTAAGTAGCTCATCGTGATTTCTTACTACTTGCGAATACAGCCGTAAGTTACTTACGTAAATTTTATGGAAAGAGCTTACAATGTAAAGGTGGGGTTGACCAATCACAGAACAGAATCTATGATTGAAATTGAATCGACTTTTGAGCGTTACTTTTAGCCTAGGAGCTAGTTTCATCGATTCTTATCTTATGAATAAATCAAGGTTGTTGGTTACCGATTAATTATCTGCCAGATATCTCTACTTGAGGACTTGTGAAGCTGACAAATGTATTTGTTTATTGTTGTAAGTAATATAAGTTCAACCAATATAAAATTGACGACATCATGTCTACCATAAACACTAAGTTTACAGATATCGTTGCAAGATTTGCAAGCACAGAAATTACTTACTGGTTAATTACACTATATTATTTATTACGTCCACACATTGGATTGGAATATAATATAAATATGTTAGGTCCAAGATTGGTGCTATATTCGTATAGTCAATTCTTGAATCAAAGGCCTACTCCCCACGTTGCCTCCAATATTGGTTCCAACGCCGCTCGTCCAACGTTTAGTTAGATTAATAAAAAAGCTTTGGCCAATGTTGGTGCCAATTATTTACACATCCACAGACCAGCAAGTGTTCCACGTTGGCTCCAATATTTTTCGCCGGCACTTCTACATATTTATTGTGCACCCGTCATCCCTTTGCCTGTGATTATATCTCAATACGGACATTGTTGGCGTTAACTAAAATACTAATATTCGATCATCAAGACCGATACACACAGTGAAGTATTAGCTCCAAGTCTTTGTTTTATAAAATATGTGAACATGGTATGGGGCGTGACACTTAATATTGTCACCAACGTCGATGGCGAATAATAAAATAAATACAAATCACTAAATAACATTATTATTTTGTGATTTTAATTCTCCAACAAACACCTAATCAATTCTAAAAGCTGTGTATATCAAACATTTTAGACAATATTATGAATTCTTTTAAATATTCGTGTCTTATGTATATTTTATAATGCAACAATAATTGATTTTGAAATTCATAATTTCTTAAAATCCAATAACATATTTCCAGTTTGATTATGTACCGGTATTAAATAGGTTTATTTTCTTTGGCTACTGCGCAAAATTGGGGTTACTTATTATAACGTTAAACTGTATAATATCAAAACATTAATTTTATATTACAAATGAATAAAAACGACAAAATTATCGCCTACTTATATAATATTTACAAATACATACTTATATAATCACTGAAGTAATTATACATAGATATTCATACATACATGCTTATCTTTCATTAAAACGCTTGCATAATAGACTAAACACAGGCTTTCGAAGCTTCACATACATTGAGTTGCATTTTTGTCTGAAAAAAAGTTGAATGTTTGAGCTCTGTGCGTATGTCGCNGCACATGTATAAGGTTGTGTTGTCAACTTTTTGGCCACTTTGGGTGTCACGAACTATTTGACGCTGACTGTATAGGCAAATGAAATGTATTTCCAATCTTTTTATACATGAGCAACCAGTCCATCAATTTCTACGAATCCTCGAATACCTACTAATTTATAAGAAGAAATGGCGGACGTTTTTTATCGTCACAAAATTGACCTTTAGATAACAATCCTATTTAGACAACGCTTCCTTTGTACATCTCAAGTCTATTCAGGTCATGTAGTTCCTGAGAAAATTGCCTGTGGTAGACGGACAGACACAAGAGTTTTCTTGAGTTCATTACTTGTATGGAACTCGTAAAAATAGTTTTTATTACTCGGGGATAATGGGCATGATTAATGGGCAGAAATCGATCGCACGAATGTCAAATACTCGTTCGTTCGTTTCAGCCAAATGACGTCCACTGCTGGAAAAAGGCCTCCCCCAAGGTTTTCGACAATGAACGGTCCTGCGCTGCCCGCATCCAGGCTCTTCCCGCGACCTTTACCAGACCGTCGGTCCACCTAGTAGGCCTGCCTGCTCACGCTACGTCTTCCTGCCCGTGGTCGCCACTCGAGAACTTTTCTGCCCCAACGGCCATCGTCTCTACGAGCAATGTGCCCCGCCCACTGCCACTTGATTTTAGCAATTCTGCGAGCTATGTTGGTCACTTTGGTTTTCCTCTGATTCGTTCACGCAGGGAAACTCAGAGCATAGCCCACTCCATCGCCCTTTGGGTGACCTTGAGCTTTCTTATGAGCCTCGAATGCTCGTATTTAAGTAAAAATAATATTTTTTATTCTTAACTGAGTAGAGCAAAAGATAAAAGAAACTCATTTGTTTCATTCATGAACTCTTTACTGATTGAAAATTTTATTTATTTAAACAAACTTTCTTGCCAAAGCGTTCCAGTACTTATTTAAAATGTAAATGTTGCAGTACTGTAAAACTGTGCATAACAATAACAGAAAAATGTCTGAAAATGTTAATATTTCTCGGGAGCATTCAGCTTGATTACCATAATGACATTCGTAATTTTATACGGCAGTCGCACAATGTATATGACAGCTCGCTAAAAAGTGATATAAGAGCCATAATGCAGAGATCAGAATTGCCGCTTTTCTGACTACAGGAATTATATCTTCAATATACTGGTGTTAATTGAATGGCATCTTCTAAGAACGGGACTTTTCCACCTCTCATTCCTACCGTTGCATCTTAACTTAGCTTCTATATTTGGACCCGCAAATTCTATCAGAAGAAAATATGCAGGGAAAGTCCCTCAAAAGTAAAAAGAACGATAGCGATAGTTGCTAATGAAAGTTAAATAAAGAGAAAAGATATACCAACAAACAAGAAGAAGTGTGCATCAAGACAATATGAATGTTTAAAGAATTTAATTCCCATTAGACTTTGAACGATAGATAAGATTAAAATTAGAAACGTCATTTTGTGTCCACAAACAAACGGTTGGTCATTTCAACAGCCACAAAAGTAGCGCCAAAGCAACCGCAATAAGGTTCACGGGTTATGAATTTTCTTATATACAATTTGGTGCAGTCCTTTATTAAGCTGTTTTGTTGCTGCATAAATTGCACGGCAGAGTCGAGGGCACGACGTTTTATATTGCTGGTGGATTCCATATTCGCGAAATGTAATATCAGGACTTGGGGTTATATTTGTTTGTTGTCGCTGAAACAATTGGACTAACAGAGCGACCACGTAGTGTCGAATGGCTACAATCATAATACGTCCACTCCTTATCTTTTAATTTTTGGTCTCTTATTTTAATTTTAGGCGGTGCACGTAATAGTGTCACACAGTCGGCATCGTCTGGGTAGAGGCGAGGGAAGCCGGGGCTCGACACTGTATCGTGTCACTAGCGAGACACTAAAGTACTACGGAACTATTCCCACCTCTCGTTCCCACCTCTGCAATTCTTGTGTAGCCAGGATCTACAGCTGGCCCACTATTAAAAACCCAATTGACGTAGGCCAAGTTTGTCCCGGGGGAAAGGTTAGCTGTCATTGGACCCGCAATGAATTGAATCCGAAGAACATAGGAGGAGTTGGAAGTTAAGGATCGACTTCTCTCCGCTGTAAAGGTACACTTAAGAATATTACTCACTGTGGTTCATGTTCTGTCAGCAGCTCTTCAAAGTGCACGCGTATGGTGTGGGCGGGCGGCGCTCGCAGTAGTGTCACACAGTCCGCATCGTCTGGGTAGGGGCGAGGGAAGCCGGGACTCGACACGATGGCATGCGGCCGCGAGCGGGACACCACTATCGTCTCGTTGCACTGGATCTTGGACGCTGTGTATGGATCTGCAAGAAAGGATTCCGATTAGAAAATGGATCACTGCTGTTAAAATTACAAAAGTCAATCTATAACTATTTACTATAAAAGCTAAAGGTCACGGATTGCCTGACTGTCTGACTCATACGTTCACTCATCACGAAATCTCAGAAACTACAAGCCCTAGTCTCAAATTTTGCATGGGGGGTTACTTTTAGAACGTAGGAGCTCACTAAAACGGATTTTACGAAACTCCACTCCTAAGAGGGTAAAACGGAATCCACGCGTACGAAGTCGCTGGCGGCCGCTAGTAAGTCATAAAAGTCTTTCTTTTTCCAAATACCTAGGGTTTACACGTTCCAGTTCCATAAATGCTACCACTACTTCGGAACAACACTATGGACCAGTACCTCTAGTAGGAAAAACTTTCGAGTTCGTTTCGTTGCGTATTCAAAGTGTCATCGAAAAATTTTGTATGAAAAATTAAACAGCGCCCCCTAGGGCGGCTATAATATAGGGGGCGCTGTTTAATTTTTCATACAAAATTTTTCGATGACACTTTGAATACGCAACGAAACGAACTCGAAAGTTTTTCCTACTAGAGGTACAGTACTGAAAAAAAAAACACTATTTCGATCATCGGCTCACTCATTACTATACCTACTGCAAATTATAAAACGAAATATGCAAAAAGTCAACGAGATCACTAACCGAATAAACGATCGTGAATAATGATACCAAACTATATTTAATTAAAACGACACGTTTGCATTCCACATGAAACATTCTGCATTCCAATCCAAATATTCCGGTCATACAAATTGAATAACCGTCACATGTCGCCGGCGCAAATAAACCATGATATTGCGAGAAATGCATTTTATTTTTACGGGATTATGACAGTTTTAATTTATTGGTCAGCATGGGGATATTAGGCGAAATTTTTTATTTACTTTGGTCAACTAGTGAGTCGTGCTTCTGCAGTGAAGAATTAATGAGATGATGATGAATTTATTGGGAACGGATAAAGCAAGCAGCGTACTGGAAAACGCAGCGTGGGACACCCATACACAAGGTGGACCGACGACATCAAAAAGGTAGCAGGAAGGCGCTGGACGCAGGCCGCTACCAACCGGGCAACATGGAAAGCATTGGGGGAGTCCTATGTTCAGCAGTGAACGTCCTGTGGCTGAGATTATGATGATGACGATGATAATAAAGCAAGTTTAGTTGGTTATTTAATTGACATAATATTTGTTTTATGGACTGAAATAATCTCTAAGAGACCTAAAAATACGAAATGATTTAACGCTCTAAATCCCTCGAATAAAACTTTCAAGGTCCTAGAGTTGAGTAAAACCGACTCTCCTTCTATGACAATATTTTATTTCCATTAAACTACCTTAATATGTGGGATGAGGAAAACGCTTGTATCCATTACAAGAATATTAGCCCCATGGGAAGACGAGCCGCCACTTACGCTACCATCGAAAATTATTAGACGTTTCAAGGTTTTAAATTACATTAATGTGAATTAAGGTAGCAGGAAGGCGCTGGACGCAGGCCGCTACCAACCGGGCAACATGGAAAGCATTGGGGGAGGCCTATGGTCAGCAGTCATCGTCCTATGGCTGAGATGATGATGATGATGAATGTGAAATCTATCAATCTTTATGGAGTGAAGCATACAATGTATGACACAACCACAAGAGCCTTTACAAATGTAGCTATTTTGTAAAATAGAGAGTCAAAGAGATGCACCAAACGTACGTGCAATCGACAATCGTTATCCAAAGAAAACCCCATCTAAAGCAAAAGCTTGTAATCTCAAAAAATTCATAACTATTCCATTCCATAACCAAATGGCTGTTCGGGTGTGGAACGCTACCAGTATATTTTATTTCGCGAATTTCCTATTTCGAGTTTGCGACCAACTTTCCCGGCCTTTGTTCAAACTATTTTTCCAAGTACCCTCAATACGGATACAGCAAAAAGGTAGAGAGAGCCCGCTTTGTTCACGGTAGTAGGTGATTATGGAGTTACAGGTGTCTTTACATCTCTTTATGGGCAAATTCTTGAATAATTTATATTCCTGCAGACAGATACCCATATAACAACTTAATTTGCGTTTAAATGTCATTAAAATATTAAAAACTAGCTTTTGCCCGCGGCTTCACCCGCGTGAAATTTAGTTTGCACAGATCGTCATAAATTATAGCCTATATGTTAATCTGGCTTATAAGCAATAATACTGTAAAGTTTTAACAAAATCCGTTCAGTAGTTTTTGCGTGAAAGAGTAACAAACATCCACACAAACTTTCACATTTATAATATTAGTAGGATCAAAATATTGCATAAAAAGTATAATGCATTCAAGCATAAAAGGAATTATTAGATCAAGTTTAGTGTAGTCCAGTCAATAAAGTATTATAGAGGAAAATGCGTGGAACACAATTTCTGATTTCGGGACTTTATTTTGAAGGTCCTACTTTCCCAGGTCAGAAATATAAACACACAGCTCGCAAGTAAATAAATTAAGGAGTTATAGGAGTTCACTTCTGCACTATTTTCTTCAACAGATCAACAGCACAACATGTGCACATTTTAAAATTTCAAGAAACATACGAGTATTTGATAACAAACCTTAATTTGCTTTAACCCATGTGACGTCGCCACAATCAGGTGCCACAAACGAGGTTACTGCATCCATGCGCATCGCGCACCGTGAAACTAGTATAACGTTGTTGAGCAACGGTATTGAATAACGAATCATTGTTTCCAGTATTCAAATGTTGTTATCGTTGGTCACAGTCTTTTGTGCAGCCGCGAAGTTGGTGCAACTAAATAATTGGAATGCGCTGGTTGAGTTGTCGTGACCTTTTGGTTGTGAGTTGTGACAATGATGCAGTGGAAGTTCTTGTGAGGCTTTTCGCGATATGAAAACGTGGGTTTAAATTGAATATGACTGTCTCGCCGCAAATGTGGTTTTGTTGTGCAGTGAATGCAGTGATATAGTAGATTACAACCCAAAGGTTGTATACGTGTGCAACATGCATCACATTTTACGGGGTGATAATTTTACTGTCATTCAGCTCAATTCAGCTATTAGGTTAGGGTTTCTCTATCGTCTGAATCTTTAATCGTACAGAAATTAAAGCATGACTACGATAATTAGTCTGTCGACTGTGAACGACACTATTTATATGTCAATAATATTCGACCTAACCATGCTGGTGCTGGAAGGTCTGGTACTGTGTAATAGCCGACATTCTTGTCATTTGAAATACTATCTAACATGCATCCGACACATTATTTTTCCGACACATTCATAGCTTGTATGTATCAAGTGTATTTCAGCCTTTATAAAACAGCGCCTAGACGCGTTTCATCTGTTTAATCCGCGGTGAGCACGAATTGACGTCATCTGATTTGACAGTGAGCCAGGGGTGGCGTAGAGACGCGAGCGAGGCACAGCTGTGAACACCGGCTCTCGGATCACAGAGGCTTATGCCCGTTACACCATCAATCCCTAATTTTTAAGTGACCTCTTTAAAAACAAAATGCCTCTTATGTGTTACCATAGGGGTCACATAAAAATTAGGGATTGATGGTGAAAACGGGCATTAGTCTACGTCAGGAGGACATGGTAAGTTGTATTTGTATGGTGCCGTTAAAAAGTCTCCTGAAATATGGTAAATCAGCTCTAAGCTTGTACGTATCAAGTGTATTTCAGCCTTTCAGCCTTTATAAAACTGCGCCTAGACGCGTGGCTTCTGTTTAATCCGCGGTGAGCACGAATTGACGCTTTCATCTGATTTGACAGTGAGCCAGGGGTGGCGTGTAGAGACGCGAGCGAGGCACAGCTGTGGACACCGGCTCTTCGGCTTAGTGATCGACGGCTCTACGTCAGGACTGGTAAGCGGCATGCCATAAAAATGACGGTATTTCGTCATGCGTGTTTTAAAATATGTTGAAAAGATGAGGTGTTGTGGCGGAGACTTTAAAAGTGATTGCTTCGTGGATTTATGGACTTGATGGCATGGCAGTAGTAATGTTTTTATTTATTTATTTATTTATTTATTTATTTATTTATATGGCATACCAACAACATATATATTATACTCTTATGATTAACATTTCTGATATATATGTCACTTAAGGGTAAGCACAACATGTTTTACTTGTAACCCTTATAAGTTTGATACTAAACGCAGTATTGTTTGATCTTCAAATACTTACCTATCTTCCAAATTATGTTTTAGCCCTAAACTTCACTACCTGAACTAGCATAATTATAATCGCTGTCATCATGAACTAATTACGAGTAATATTTCTTTACGGAAATGTTTTTAAACTGAAACTCCATAAAATGTCAACATAAAATTGTTTAAACTCCTCAATATTCTCTCACATTGGCCACGTGTTTCCACGATAAACATTGCAAGTAAGTACTACACTTCTCTATTAAACACCTCGTTAATCTAAAAATGTTTTTTGGAGCAATAAAATGTAAAACCCCTCAACCCAGTTTGCCGTCATTATTCTGCTTTGACGCGGGCCCGATATTGCTCGGACATCTCGACTTCTAACGCTTTATTCTTGAGTACACAATATTGCTTTTACAAGAACTGTTTTAAGTATTATGAAAATATTATTCTAAGAATAGAATATCAGTATAAATACATAAAATTATAATGTGACTACGAAATTAATGTTTTATGATTTCGTTAGCGTAAAATTGAAATGACAATTGCCATATTTTAAATTCAAAATGACCAATACAATGTTACATATTCAATTTATTTTTGTTTCAACTTTAAAATGAGTTAATTAATGTACCTACTTCAAATTCGTCACAATTTAATGACAATCAAAAAAATATTTCTTTACAATTTTCTATTGGAACCTTGGATTGGGTTTACTTGTACATAACACTGAAGTAAAATGATCATAAGTACTTATCATAATTCCATTTTGCAACAAAAATAAGTCTGCAATAGGCTTTTGGCTGTACCATGTAACTCTTTG